GTAATGAGACCTCGTTTGATCGAAATGCCAACTTTATGGCTCAACATTTATTTACAACCTCATATAAATATTATCTAAACCAAGATGAATATAATATGTGGTCCGTAAACATCGGATGGTCCCCGCCCATGTGTGGGCCCAACGTGCATTTTACTGTTCAAGTAACAGTAAAAATGAGAACACGTTGCTTTAAAAATTCATCCATCAGTCCTAATGACTAAATATGTGTTTTCATATTTTGTGACACTTTAATAAAATGTTACACTTATTTTTAAGTGGTCCCAACTGTATAAGCAGATAAAATCTTATCTGTTTATTCTTATACGAAAATATCTTCAAGGTAGGGTCCTCCAAAAGTACCCACCTCTAATATGTCAATTTAATCATACATTATCATCCCATTATTTTGGGTTTTTAAAACATTTATATTCCTTCTGTTATTAATTCGTAGCCTTCCGAATTATTATCAGTTCGATGATTAATGATTCACAATTATCGAATAGAGACCCCAGCCCGCTTGGCCGTCTAGTTGTCGTTTCTTTATATCACTGGGTCCATGACCCATCCCTACTATCATAATAGTATCATTTTGGTAAACATTAATATTTTATAAATGAACTTAGAATATCACGAGTGGTCCCACGTCTAAATTAATAACCCTTTATTAATTTAAGACAAAATTTTTACTTTCTCATTTATCAAGACTACTCTTAGCCTTGATTTACCTTCTTTAACCCAGTACTTGATGAAAAAAAATTTCTCACAGTAAAATTCGGGTCCGGTGTTACAAATTGTTATCAGTTTGCAGTTCTTATAATTGTCTTTATTAGAGACAATAAAGATATTTGCGCCTATTTTGTCATGTGGAGACTAAGAAATACTACTGCTCCATAAGAAATATTACCTCTTTGCTTTTTCTTGGCCAAGCTACCCCTTTCAGGCTTTAGTCTTCACTGCTGACGTGCTGCATATAACATGTGATGTGTAAGAAATTGTTGGATACATATAGGGTTGGTTTGCAACTCCTTTTAAAAAAGCACTTCTCACTTTTGGCTTTAAAAAAGCATTTATTTTCCCAAACACTACAACTTTTATTTTTCTCGGCTTCCGCGTCAAAAGTGCTTTTACTTTTTCTATTACACAAAAAGCACTTATTTTACCAAACACTACCCACTTTTACTTTTCAAAATCAATTTTTTCTCAAACACTATCAACTTTTATTTAATCACTTCTCCCCATTATTTCATTAAAAAAAACACTTTTTTAAAAGCAGAAGCTGTTGCAAACAGACCCCATAATCTATTATCTATTATAATCTAAAAGCAAAATGCTTTTGGGGCAAGTTTCCACCCTCAAAAACGTCACCTTCATTACTTTGGTGTTTATTGCTCCGTGAACAAAGGTTTGCTAAATGTCTGATGAGTAAAAAAATTAATGTGGGGCCCGACATTAGATTTTTTTGGGTGGAATGAATGGATGCAGCAACTTTGGGCACTTAATCAGACATTTAGCAAACCCAAAAGTAATGAAAGTTAGAGATTGCACACACTGTTTGGGTTAGAGACTAAGGCCTTTTCCACGGTTATAAAATGCAGGCATTCTGGGTTTCCAAAACCCCACAGCTCACAGCAAGCAAATAAAACATAAACACAAGCAGGAATTCAGAAACATGGTTGGTATGTGGTCCATTTTTTCGGGAGATTGACCAGAGTAAGACTACATGGGCAATCAAAGCCAGAGCGATACATGTCTACCGCGAGCCTGTGCATGACTGTTTTCCCGAGTCCTTGGAGGTTGTTTTTCACGACGAGGAGGTTAGGCCTAATGAATAATTTTCCTAATCTACTGCGTTAAATTTGCGGAATACGAATTTTTACTATAGTCTTTATAATTTAAGGGCTCCAGAATGCATGCACTCATTCCGGACCAGTTTGTTACTAAGTTTATCGGCATTTTCAAAGAGGGGCAAGTTTTCCGAATGAAGATAGGCGTAGAGATGTGTAACTGTCGTCTGGTCCGGATTTGCTTGGAGAATCCTACATCTACCCTATATCTAAAATTATTACAACTTTTTCAAAAGGAAAAATCAAAATTACATGTAAACTATATTCTCCAGGCATGGATTATCTGAAGCATACAAGTGATCCACGTTATTTAGGCGCAGATTCTGATTGTAAAAATTCTTGTGCATCAAATCTGTATATAATTTAGAGATAAGGTAAATTCTAATTAAAATATGAAACTATGGTAGTTATAAATTTTCATTTAGCACGAGAAAACCAGATCTTTTATCAGTCTTTATGACCTATATATGCCCCCCTGATTGGCTGGCATGCCATGGGCAGTTCGTTTCACCAAGGCATTTCATAATATAAACTTGATTAATACCAAATTTGGAATTCATAATACACAAACTAATAACCCCCCCAATCGGTTTGACATGAAACCTATTATAATGCCTTTTACAATGATCTTCAGACATTTTACAATGGTTGCATTTTACTTTTTTGACTTAGTAAATAATGAAGTGTGTGTAAATGATGCCTTAATGCAAATGGGATGATTTTGAACAACTCAATTTAAATGCAACCATTTGGTTCCTGAACAGATAATATGGTCTTCTCAAAAATATGCATTCAGATTTATGCAATTTTTTTTTTAAAAAAAATTGAGCTCTAATTGTTTCAAAAGTGACCGATGCATAAAATGATTTTGTCAGCTTAGTGGTGTGGATAGGAATTCAACACATCATAGTTAAGATCATAGTTAAGAGCTAAAAAAATATATTCATCACATCAGGTGCCTGAAGATCTGTATGGTTTGTGTTTTTACTGAACTGAAAATGTGAAGAGGTGGTTTTGTGTTGTGTTGAGTCTGCATGTAAGGTTTGGTCTCAGGGTTTGTGTTTGGATTTGTTCTGAGCATATAAAGTTTACCTGAATCTCTGCGATATGACCGTGGAGACCTCGGATCTTGTGTGCGCACAGTGGCCCATTTTCGTATCAAAGTCGCTTTGTTCTCTTCTCCGATCTGCGAACGTCGGTTGGATGTGGAGGTTTCGGTTTCGGTCAAAATCTTTGGTGGGATGTGTTGTATAGGTGTGTGTCGTTGGAGATCGGGGTTGTTTGTTTTCGCCGGAGCTTGATTCCGGAGGTGGTGATGGTCGCTAGGGATGCATGAGCCGAGGTGTTAGGGTTTTTAGTGAGAGAGGCAGCGTTGGATTATAAGGCTTAGGTTTGGGCTGGGTTAATTTTAATTGGGCAGGCCCATACGGGTGGTGATTATTTTTCAATGGGCTAAGATATGTTGGTTTTAAGTTAATGGTGTTAGGTTTGTGACATATAATGCCCGTTTTTTTGTTCAAAAATATGCCGGTTAGCATGATTCTCTAGAAATTAATTAAGAGCCCGTTTGGTAGCACCAAAATTGGCTGTTTTGGCTAATTATGCTGAAATTTATAAATTTCCGGCTAAAGTGGCTACATTGACTAATTCTGCTGATTTAGGGAAAAAAATTTAAAATATATTTTATTAATAAAATTTTAAAAACATTATATGTAAAAATAGCTAAAATGGTCATCTACGATAACTTCAGCCAATACAACCATAAAAGTAACTTCTTTTTGGCTAATTTCACAATTCACCGTGCGAAAGCAAAAGTTTTGTTTTTGGTGAAAAAGTTGGCTGATAAGTCTGATGAACCGAAAAACAGTGTTGCCAAACGGCCTCTAAGTTTAGACTGAAGTAAGCTTTTTGGCTTATTCCGCCTATTTTTGTAAACAATTTTTTTAAAATATATCCTACTAACATTTTATTGGAAAAATTTTATTTATATGTATCTAAAATATTTAGGTATAGTAAATTAAGCCGGTGAACCAAGAAAAGTGGGTTCAACCTTACTTATTTTGCTGATTAAAACACACGGTGTGGCAAATTAAACAATATTGCTGAAGTAGGCCTTTTGGCTTATTCCACCTATTTTGTAAACTATATTTTTAAAATATATCCTATTAAGAATTTTTGGGAATTTTGTTTTAAATAGATCTAAAATATTTGGGTATATTAACTAATGTTGGTGAGCAAGAAAAGTGCATTCAACCTTATTTTTTCTGCTGATTACGGCATTTTCTGTGGTATTTATAAGTGTCATGTTTGGTCATAAAGTTCGTTCTTAATATTGATAAGCGGAAAAGTGTGTTGTCAACTACCCTAACAATCATTATTCTAAACGTTACATATCAATATATATGTAAACTTTTTTGGCCTTTTATTCTGATTATTATGAGTCGGAGTAAATAGTTTTTTTCATTTCATAGTAAAACGGTATTTTACTTGAAATTTGTCATTGTTTTTTGAGTTAGGTATTACATTTGTTAAATTTCCATAGATAAATTTACAATGTATGTTGTTAGCTATTAAAATAATTTTTGCGATATATGGGTTTTTCCTGTAATATTTTTGTAGTATATATGTGCATTTATTTCTATGATATAAGATTACGTTGAACCATGTTATTTGTGAAACCGGTCATTCATAATATAAAAAAATCAATAGTGATAGATCATATTTTCGTAGTAAGTGTTGATCATTATTCATACATGGTAAACCTAAAGTTTATTCGCCCGATTGCATTTATTTCGTGGTAATTATCAATTGAAGTAGATGGTCAGGGTGTTAACCTACGTTAAAGTAGGTGTTAATCCCCCCGTTTCGTTAGGGGTTTTTTGTTTCCTCATATTAGCCTATTGGGTGTTTTTACAGATGGTGAGGGTGTTTTGCATCAACAAATGTTTTGCCCCTATGGTTATAAAAAAAAGGAATGAAAAATGGGTTGGAAATTCACCGGCCGTGCATCGCACGGGTGATTTACTAGTCGAGTAGTAAAAAGTTTTATTTCCCAAATTCCCGAAAAAAAAAATACAAATCGAACGGTCAAGATTCTAGACTAAGATAACTTGCTCTTCAATATACGCAGTACAATACAATTTCCTGTGTGCACTGCAGTGCGCCACCATGGATGCTAAACCCCTCACCTAATTCTAAAATCTCAGTCCATATTTCTTCGCCTCAGCGGCTAACCTTTTGTCTCGGTCAACTGCAGACAGATACGAAAAAGCTTCCTCCACATCCTCTCCCGGATTCTCTTCCTGTAAGTGAATTAGATATCATCCTTCCCATCCATAGTATCTTGTTGGACAACTTTTTCGTGTGCGCACCTGTATTCGGTACGGATATCGTTATATGCATTAAGACATTTAAGTAATCCGTTTGGATTTTTTGCTGTGCGTATTTCTTGGTTGCTTTCCGATTACTGCTACACTCAAAAGTCAAAATGAACATCTGTTTTGCATCATTGTTCGAGTATTTTATGCAGTTAACATAATATTGAAGTAGGTTCTGACATTTTTCCTAGTGCATATGCTGTATATGAGTTTAAATCTTCCGAGTCCCCACAAGTGTTCTTTGATTAAATATGTGCATATGTTCCTAGTGTTTTTGCATTTTAGATAAATAAATTTGGCATCGGAATATCTAGTTTCCCCAAATTATACTATCTAAATGTCTGGCTAAATAACCAGAAGATTAGAAGACCATTTTCATTTGATTCTCACCTTTAATTAGCTGACTAGCATTTAGTTTAGATCCTTGTTAAGAGAAGAGAATGTTTCCTATAAGGCTATATTGGTAAATCACTTCAGCTTGATATCCATATGTCATTTTATGTGTATGTTCTAATTAGCTTAATTAAGTGCTGATCGCCGTTGAATGCAACCCTGGCTATCACTGTGAAGACACACACACACAATGGCCTGTCGAGCTCTTTTGAGAAGGAAGCTTGTCTCAGACTATTTGGAGGCATCTGTTCAGTCAATTCAAGATTTTCAGAAATTCAGTTCTCTTCAGCCCACTCATTGTTTTGGAGGGGTTGCCTCAGCTAGAAACCACCTTTGTCAAACTTCAGACTATCCAAAAGATCACGAAGAAGTTTCAAGCTTTCCAACTTCAAGACTTTTATGGAACAGATCTGCTGGAATCATACTATCTGGCCATGGAAATGTTGGAATCAAATTGCCTTTAAGAATGAATCTCATCTCACCTATGGGACAGAGATGGGTTCCTTCCTCTGCTCATTATTCTTCCACAGCAACTGCAAAACAATCTGAGAGTGGAAGTGATGATGATGAAAATGAAGATCTGATTGCCAAAAAGAAGAAAGAAGCGTCTCCAGAGGAATGCGATCAAGCTGTTGAAGGGCTAAGTTCTGCTAAAGCAAAAGCGAAGGCAAAACGACTTCTAGAATCTCAGAAGGTTGCCAAATCTGCAGTACAAAGAGTATGGGCTACACTATTGGGTATTGGCCCAGCCTTGCAAGCTGTAGCTTCTATGAGCAGGTTAGAAAATGTTCATAAGGTATAAGGTAAACTAGTTTACATGTCCCCGTGGTTATAGTTTGATTTGGTATCATTATGTCTCTGCTCAGGGAAGATTGGGCCAAAAAGCTCACTCATTGGAAGAAGGAGTTTATATCCACGCTGCAACACTATTGGCTGGGTTCTAAGCTTTTGTGGGCAGATGTGAGGATCAGTTCTCGGCTATTATTAAAACTTGCCAAAGGGAAGAGTCTGTCTCGTAGAGAGAGGCAACAACTTACTCGCACTACAGCTGATATTTTCAGACTGGTTCCCTTTGCTGTATTCATCATTGTCCCATTCATGGAATTTTTGTTGCCAGTTTTCTTGAAATTATTTCCCAACATGTTACCATCAACATTTCAAGACAAGATGAAAGAACAGGTAAAGTTCCACATTTCCATTTATCTGTAACATGTTTTTCCTCGATGTAGTCTTGTAGCAGCATTAGTCTTTGTAGATGCAATATTTGGTATGCTTATCATGGACTTATACAATTTTGTTGTTGACTCTAGTACTCTACTCATTTGGAGAGAAGAAATGACATGATTTGATAGGTTTCCTCTCCAAAAAGGATGGCACCCCATCCCTGAGGCCCCCAGAACCGACAGACAGTTATCTGGGAGGGATAGGTTTCCTCTCTAAATTTACTAAATGGCTTTTGTGGTTTAGTTTGTGATACTAAATTATATTTACGAGATGAACCATAGAGCTAGATAATTTTTTGGTAGGTTTCCTCTCTAAATTTACTAAATGGCTTTTGAGGTTTAGTTTGTGATACTCAATTATATTTACGAGACAAACCATAGGTTGTCATTTGTTTATTTTCCTATAGACTATAGTTTTCCATTACTTGTATGGAGAAATAGTTGGCATTTCTCGACACATGTTATTCTGAATTAAGTATAATTGGCACTGGAATACTCCAAATAGTTTTTTATGTACAGATAAACTAAATAGTACTACCTGTCTACCTCCGTCCCACTAACAATGGGACATGAGAAGGTGACACGATTATTAAGAAAAATGGATTTATGTGGTTGGTATTGAATTGATAAAGTAAGAAGAAAGTAAGTATGATTTAGAACCACACAAATTTTACCAAATTTAGCATAGGGCAATCTTAGTGCGACGAATCGAAAAGGAAAAATGGACAATCTTAGTAGGATGGAGGGAGTATATGATTTGCATGCAACCTTATGCATACATTATTCTTTGTTATAACTCTTCTGAATATTTTATTCTTGAACCAATGAATTTTATTTGCATGGTTGAACTGTAGGAAGCATTGAAGAGAAGGCTAAATGCGAGGATAGAATATGCGAAGTTTCTTCAAGACACTGTCAAAGAAATGGCAAAAGAAGTACAAAATTCTCAGAGTGGGGATGTAAAGCAAACAGCAGAAGATCTGGACGAGTTCCTGAGCAGGGTAAGCACACTTTCAAAGAAATCCATGAAAATGTAAAACCTACCTCCCTGCCTGCAGTAATAGGAAAAAGAAGAGATAAAATAAAACAAGGGTGGAATTTTGAGATTATTAACATGTGTCTTTCAGGCTAGAAGAGGCGCTCCCGTTGCGAATGAGGAAATTTTGGGGTTCGCTAAATTATTCAATGATGAACTCACTCTGGATAATATCAGCAGGTTTTGTGTTTTGCATTTTTTGATGAACTTGTTTTGAAGTTTTCTTCTTCCTGCTGTGTGGATATATAGAATTATGGGCAACACATTTTCTGTTTCAGGTCTCGATTAGTAAGTATGTGCAAGTACATGGGTGTCCGTCCTTTCGGAACAGATGCATATTTGCGTTATATGCTTCGAAACAGGTTACAAAGGTATGCCATATCTTAACCTTGTTATTTTCTGAAATTAGTGCTACTATGTTACTTTAGTGTATCTGAAGTATGTTGATACGTGCTGGGGCGTGTGAGCAAGCAGTGAATTTCTAGTTGGTTATTATTTGGTTTAGTAATTCTAATTATTTTTTATTGCTTAAATAGATGAAGATTTTTATATACTCCGTAGTTTTTAATCCAATAATATTTCTTAGTTATTGTATTGGCTTATGACTTCAGAACTGGCATTGTATTTAATATGAACAATGAACTGTTGTCTGTTGGTGTCTCATCTATAATGGGTATTGGTTACAATTTTATTGATGCAGACAATTCAGTGTGAAAGTTAAGGGAGTTTTGGGTCTCCACAAACCCAATCACAGGGAGATCAGAATCTCAACTCCCTTACATGTTCTTTATATTGCAATACATCAGCCATTCAACCCATGACATTCACTAATATAGCACAAAACATATTTAACAATTTTTTGTATAGTTTAGCAAATTTATCATCTGCCCCAAAATTATAGCCCATTTTGACTGGTAGAGAAAGTAAAAGAGAAAATTCCTTATATAGGACTAAAACATAAACAAAGTGCACATATAGTACTATCATTGTTTTCTTCCTAAAATAGGACTTATTCACTCCTAATAGGGGAAGTTTTATACTTTCAATAGGAATAAATAAGTCCTATTTTGGGAATAAAATGCATGTAATCCTATTTGTTCATTTTGTCTAAGTTTTAGTCCTATTTATAGATTTTTCTAAAAGTAAAATTGCATGATAAAGATTTATTTTAAAAAGAGAAATATTATTAATCCCATATTGCTTTCCTTAAAAATAAATTGAAATAATTTTGGGACAGAAAAAGGAAAGTGGGAAGATAGTTCAGGGGACAAAGGGAGTATACAAGAATCCCTTGAGTCATCGGTGTCTTTACATATTCCCTTATTCTACTTAACTGAATCTGAACATTTTATAGGATCAAGAATGATGATAAATTGATTCAAGCTGAAGGTGTGGAGTCTCTATCAGAGGCTGAACTTCGTGAGGAGTGTAGAGAGCGTGGCATGCTTGGTTTGCGTTCAGTAGATGATATGCGTCAACAGGTGCTCTGCTATTCTCCTCCTTTGAAATCTTCCATATCCCCCAGATATTGAGCATTTTTATCTAATGCTACTGGACGAAATAAGTTTCATAGTTTCTTTGTATTTATTAGCTATCTGTGAATTTTCCAACCTTATCAAACTTTGATCATATGAAGTCATTGCAGAAAGTAAAGGAGTTCACCAAAAGTTTTTGGTTAGGTGGCTATATCCTATTTTGATAACTTGCTCATTAGTTACATGTGATTCATGTGCTGAACTTCTGTTTCAGTTCGTGTTAATAATGTTTGATGTAAACAGCATTTGTTGCTCTTTTATATAAATATTGTGTTACTGCATAAAACCACAAAGTTTGTGTTATACTTCTGCTGAACGACATTCATTGTTATTTCAAAAAAGAACTTCACCCTCCTAAAAAAGAAAGAAAAACATAAAAGTGGCTGCTGTTGCATCGGTGCTTCTTTACATCCCATTTTGCTGTCATGCTTCTTATTCAATTTTTTCTTTCTACTGCAGCTTCGCGACTGGTTGGATTTGTCACTTAATCATGCAATACCATCTTCATTGTTGATTCTGTCCAGGTACATTGAATCATACACCCCGTCCACTAAGATTGTCCCATTTCCTTTTTGAGAAATCCCACTAAGATTGTCCATACCAAATTTGTGTGGCTCTAAATCATTTTTACTTTATTCTTACTTTATCAATTCAATATCAACCACATAAACTCACTTTTCTTAATAATCGTGCCACCCCCTATTGTCCCAATGTTAGTGGGATGGAGGTAGTACTATCTTATAGCAACACACACAGGAACATGAACGCACATACACGGGCAGAGAAATTGTTAGTTTTGCATGATATAGATTCTGAGAGTTTCATTGGCCTTAGCTTTTTCCAATATGCTGTATATAGGGCTTTCATTGTATCTGGAAGGTCCAAGATAGAGGAGGCAGTAGGGGCTACATTATCTTCACTTCCAGATGAGGTTGTAGACACTGTGGGTATCACGTCCTTGCCATCTGAAGATTCTGTTTCAGAAAGGAGAAGGAAATTGGACTATCTTGCTATGCAAGATGAACTAATCAGGGTTAGTAAACTTTTTTATTTTCTACTACACCATTGCTGATGTGATGTTTCCTGCCTGTTTAGTTATTTTCTCCAAATTGTTCTAACCAAGCAACCATGGTTATTTTTTCCAAGTAGTTGCTTATTTGATGTTCTTCGCCTGTTTGGTTATTTTCTCCAAACCTCTCCAAATTGCTTATTTGAAGATCTCTACCTGTTTGATTATTTTCTCCAAATTGTTGTAACCTTCCTATAGATTAAACGACCATGGGGATGGTGAAAATTTGATCTTTTTCCACCCCCAGGCCATCAAAAATTGAAACCACCCGGTCTACCCTCTACAATTATTAATATAAATAAATTACTTGGATCCAGTCCATCAATTTTTACTCACGGAATGGTTGGTGCTTCATCCTTTGTTTCTAATTAATTGGATCACATAAAAATCTTATAAGTTCATCATGCCCTTTGAGTTTTCCCTGTACATTAGTGTTTTATTAGGTTCGTTATTTTATCTTCTGAAGTATTCATATATGAATTCTTCAATTCTCAACATATTAAGTTTCACTAAGAAAATGGAGATAAGATGTTCATTTGTACTCTGTAAAAGATAAAAATGGGTTAGCTAGTTGATTGAATAGATTTCTATTGATTTTTCGGTGGACCATAACTGGATCGATTCATTGTTTTTAATCCATCCATTGTTTTTAATCCATCCATTGTAATCCTAAAAAAATTTATCCAAACCATCCATTTGACACCCCTAACTATGATAAGGCTGTTTGACTGGGCCACTTTAACAATTGGTTTTGACAGGTTGACTTTCATTAAGAAGGGCCGAAATAGGTTGCATAAGATCCAACTTATGTTTTAACTAACCCATGAAGGCACAAAATAAAAGAAATAATCGAGGATACAAAAAGGTGGGGTGGGGGGGGGGACCAAACAAGACCCTGTCAGGGGGCATACCCGCCAAACAGATATAAAAACAGATCAACAAAAAGTCAAAAACACCTCTACACTGAAATTAGATCAGAACTACAAAGCTTACCAACAAAGATAACTAATACCCTTATCTTCGGCTAGGATGCCACTCTTGCACTCTCTTGGGAGTTTCCTCCATTCAATAGATCTCAATCTAGCTTCGGGAGAAGATTTAATGATTTAGTAAATTTGTTTCACAGATACCTTCTTTTTCAATATGATGAATTTTCATGTTGCTGCCCACAATAAGCTTCATGATCCTCATGCAGACAACAGTATTCATCCATTCTTTATTGAATGAATAGTAAACTAAGTCCAACTTCAAATTTTTTGTGTTGACCAATAAACTCCAATCGCCAACTTTCTCAATTGGGTTGAAATTTTTGTTTTTTTAGTAACCATAGGTGCGTTTTTCAGTATTTTCTATTTTCTTATTTGCAATACCATATATTTACAAAGTAAATCACAAGTAGTACTTTCATGAAAAATATTTTGCTATCAACACGAGTCGACTGGCTCTTCTAATAATTTTCAAACTCAACTTGTATTTTGACACCTAAGATTCTCTTTTTTAATTCCTCTTTTGACATTAAAGTCCCACAACATTGCCTCCAGTATCCTAATTTTTTTACTTATGCATGCAACAATGCTGTGGGTGGAGGCTGTTGACCAAAGCAACTCTGCTGTCTTTCCTGTTTTCTGTCTGCTATCTTTTGTTATCTAATATTTTTCTTTCCATTTTACTAACTCCACCCCAAAGCTGTATGTATTTTCCATTTTGAAATAATGATGATTTTTCTTTGCGCCCTTTGTACTTCGTTATAGAAATCTATAATTCTTTGAAAAATATCACTGTTAATTTATACATTTCAACTGACATAGGAGGAGGAAAAGAAAGAGGAAGAAGAGCAGGCCAAGAAGGAATCTATTGGTAGTCAAGATGATATTGCGCTGAAAGAGATGATTATTCCAACAGCTAGAGAAGCACAAGAACAAGCTAGAGCAAAAGCTCTTGACAAACAAGAGGATCTATGTGAAATTAGCCAAGCCTTAGCTGTTCTGGCTTCTGCCTCTGTGAGAGAATTAACACTTGGTTGATCTCTGTTGTTTAAGTCTGCTTTTAGATTGTAATTTTGCTTTCTCACATGTCTTTGTCTTGTGAAATGAGAATTTCAGTCTGTGAGCAGGGAGAGGGAAGAGTTTCTAAGGCTTGTCAATAAGGAGGTATAATTTTGCTTAAAGTTTTGCTGTTGTTGAAAGTACTGATATCCAATAGAAAGGCAAAATAGGTTCACTCTTCTATTTCTCCAGGTTAATAGAAATAATGATATAACCTGGAACAATAGAGTAGTAAACCTATTTAGCATAAACAGACATGACCAACCTTTATTCAGTCTTTTCATTCCCAAAGGAAACAGTTTGTTGATTTCTTCTGTTGGTTCACTTTTTCTTTAAGTGAAATGGACTGTATAATGACAGTTGGAACATCCATTCTCCGTTTTAATTTACTTTTTATGTACCCCTGCGTTGGAACTTGGAAGGAAAGAAAAGTGATTTAGCATTACAAGCTAGAAAACTAGGATGACTCTGGCATTTGTTCCTGTACGCTGAGCAACTGATACTCGTGATTTTTTTGTACATTTCCATATTTGTTGCCCACGTGTAACTGCTCTATTCTCATTCAAGTTCATCAGCATTTTTATCATCAAATATTATTGAATTCAGAATCCTGATCATTGCTCTCCACTTCAGTGGTTTTAAATATTTTCGTAAAACCCAGTGTTTCATGAATGAATGAATGAATTAATTAACCGCATTTACACTAACTTTGGACCATATACATTCAAGCTGTCTGTTCTATTATCAACGAGATCTTATTTAGTGTGCTTGGATATGTAGTGGTCAGTCTTTACTTTGATACTTACACCAAAGTATATTATGTTATTACAGATAGAACTCTACAATAGCATGGTAGGAAAAGAAGGTACTGATAATGAAGTAGATGTCATGAAGGCATATAGAGCTGCTCGTGAAGAAAGTGATCCAGTCTCTGAAGTTACTGCACATGATGCAGTGTCTTCTGCTCTTGTAGATAAGGTGTGAGGCCTTCTGCTACATATAAAACCCAATGCAAATATGTTTCGCAACTCGCTAGTCACAACGACGTGGTATTACTTAAACATAAAACTTATGGTTGTTCGTTTGGTCTGGTTCAGGTTGACTCAATGCTTCAGAACCTTGAGAAGGAAATTGATGATGTGGATGCAAAAATTGGTGACCGTTGGCAAATCCTTGACAGGTAAAATATGAAAGAGCATATTGTTGAAGGGAAGGGGAGGGAAGAACAGTATTTATTTATTTTAGTTTTTCCTTGCTAGAGATAGTAGGAAATGAAGCAAGGACTTGATATTATATATAAAAAATGATTTAACGAAAGATAGGGTTTAGTTATTAATCTTTGATAGGTAAAATAGAAATCAGAATAAAATTATTTTAGTTAGGCGCTAAGCCCTTGTTTGATTGGTGGATTTTGAAGGAAAGGGATAGAGATTGGGTTATATGTACTCTATTAATTCATTCTTGCTTAAGATGGTTGGCGATAACATGAAGATGGAAAATCATATTAAAACACACGATTTAACTAAAAGTATACTCCAGTTATTTTTCAGTGTAAGACAAAGAGATGTATAAAACTGTATCCTCCTACTCCCCCAGCAGCACAGCCCTAAATCTATGTTTGTTGTGATTGAAACATTTGACCTTGATTCATCCCAGTGATCCCACAGTATCTGTAGATTGATAATGCTCTCATATGTACAGGGACTATGATGGGAAAGTGACTCCTGAAGAGGTAGCAGCTGCCGCAATGTACCTGAAGAAAACTCTGGGAAAAGAAGGGATTCAAGATTTCATTACCAACCTCTCCAAAGATGCAGGTTTTTTTTCTTATTCCTCTACTGTCTTTATGTCAAAATAGCACCTATCGCCTGCACATGTTTGGGTTTACATGTCCTTTTGCAAGGGTATTATTTCTATATTGCAATTGAGAGTTTAGTATTGTCATAATTTCAGACCATTTATATTAACCCCATTTCCTGCCAGAAAAAGGAAGAGAAAAGTATCTTTCTGAATGCTAGCACAATATTATAATTTTGCTATTGATGTAATTTCATGGAAATAGTATAGTTTCATTCTCACTTTTTTGTACATATGCAGATGGAAAAATTCTTGTGGAAGACATAGTCAAATTGGGAAGTCGTGTAGAAGATATGAGGTCAGACGACATGTAGTAATATGAAACAGTATAGTCAATTAATACTTCTGGCTACTGTTTTATCTGTGCCAAGGTTTGGTGCTTATAGAGATTCGATTCTCTGGTTTCATATTGAGGGTTTCCCCAAAATATTACTTTAGATCATATTGTGGACATAAACATAACTAAATGGTCACTTTGAGCACCACAATAGCCCACTACACCGGTCAAGTATAGTCACTATGCATTAAAGCATTAAGTAGGTTGCATTTTTGTCCATAACTCTTATTTTAGTAATATATACTACGTACTACGTATTGGTCATTATGTCCATATTATCAAGAATGGCACCTTATAGAATTAGTGCTTTTGGCGCCTTTTTATATTCACTATATTCTTTCTTAAAACTATTCGATACAACATCCAAGCCTTATTCCCAAAAGATTTTGGGGTCGGCTTTCTTAAAATTGTTCAATGGTTCAGCAAAATTTATCATACTTGTACTGCTCTTTTTTTGTTCCAAGTTTCACGAAATTTAGGTTTCATAGTTTTTTTTTTGATTGAGGGTATACTCGAGAGTCGAAACTGTATTCAGTCGCGAGTGAAGTATATACTCAGTTTTTTTTCATGCATCTAATCGGTCATATACTCATAGTGAAGTATTGAGTTAAATTCTTATGTTTCATGGAGACGGTTTAAGAGCTGAAATGCTAGATGAAAATACAACTTTAAATTCGAAGATCTTTCCATGAACCTGCCGGCTTTTCAGAAATTTGAAAAACATACCGAGAAGGCAAGAAAAAAAAAGGATGACATCTTATCCCTAAGACTCTTGAGAGCCCCTCAGAACCGACGGGACAATTATTTGATAGGATGTAAGATGAACTCTGTGAAGGCAAGAACACTCTAACAATTGGGGTTTTGAAGAAGATTAGGTCGCAACAGTGTACTTCACATATCCCTTTTTACTATTTGACACAAATATGTTATTCATATTTGCCTAACGCAGAAAAACAATATCAACAACAAAATAAATTCCTTAAAATAGAAGTCAAAATAAATCTGAGGGGCACTAGCAAGTAGCAAATGGTGTATGGTGTTTATTTAATACGGAGCTACGATTTAGTACAATTCCTAAAATACAGTTGGGAAAATTAGTTGGAATGTATAAGAATTAAGATTGCTGCATTAATCTATATGCAATTTTTGAAACACAGTATATAAACTTTCTTTGCTGGTTCTAAATCTAAAGGAAATATGTAGAGAACATTAAATGTGGACACTTCAAGGATATGCTTTCATGCAACACGCATTCGTTCGGTGATGAAAAGTAAGATATCTGATCATCATCTAGTGAATGTATGTCATATAGGAATGTCTTCCTGAAGTGTCTATATTTAATGTCCCTTTAACATCACACAATTATTTGAGCATTGTTTGGCAATGTGTTGCGACTACTTGGTATTTGTCTCATCAAAAGCCACATGTGAGATGAAATCTCTTATATTCACATCAGAACTTCCTCCTTCACTTGTTGCCTCTTCTGCTAACCGTTTCCACTTAGCCGCATTTTTCTGCAATTCATTGGCTTTTGCTCCCTCAGTTACTTGCTTTATGGATCCACTGATCTGATGTCTCGTCACGAGTTTTGTCTCGCTAGTCTTGATCCGGATCCCGACTTGCCAAACATCCTCCATAAATTTTGCATTGGTTAGTTGATCATCATGTTGGGGAATGCCCACCATCGGCACACCCAATGTAAGTGCTTCGATCGTTGAGTTCCATCCGCAATGTGTCATGAAGCATGTGATTGCATGGTGCGACAAGACCTCAACCTGATGACACCATTGCAAGATGATACCTTTCTCCCAAGTCTTTGACTTGAAATCTTTTGGAAGTTTGGACTCTTCAGATTCCCTAACAACCCATATGAAACTTTTGTTGGATTGAGCCAATCCCATTGCAATTTCCTCCATCTGCTCTTCCGACAAGACAATTAGGCTCCCAAATGATACGTAAACCACCGACTTTGGTTCTCTGCTGTCTAGCCATTTTATGTAAACTTCATTGTCTAACTTGAATAGGTCAATTCTATCACGTTTCACATCCATCAATCTCTTGGAGGGTGTTGGAACCAAGGGTCCTACGGTCTTCACAGCCCATTTTGCCCCCATATGCTTCACTATCTGTTGCGGGGTAAAGTAAGACAATATCTCTTTTGAGAATATACTAATGGAGCATAAGTTTTACAGGTATTAATTAATACCCTAATGAAACAAAATTAGGATGTTTATATGTCAATCGTTCAGTTTTAAAACATGAAACAAAATTAGGATGTTTTTACTTGAATGAAAATTTCTTGTCTAGGCTGATTTGGTCTGATAGATGTCTTTGTATTTTATAATTCTCGAGGTCTGGTCTGATCTGATTTACGTAAGTTTGATGTGATATGTTAAGTCTAGTCTAGTTTGACGTCAAAATAAGTTCAACTACAAATATTCGTGCTCAATAAAAAATTTGTTTTGTGGGAGTGGACAAGTCTTATATTCAGGGAGATGTTAGTTGAATTTATGAAATATGAGAACTTGTGGAAGTGTGGAAAGAATAAATACAGAATGCTATGCCATCTTTGTAGGATGTCGGGAATTGACGAAGGCACTAAAATCTTAAAAAAGCTTTTATATTGATAAAGGTAGTGAGAAAAGGGGTACAATTTCAAAAAGCATGCCCGGAATGCCGGCAAAGTTCCGGATCGACGTTCCAGCAACGAAATTGTCAACAGGCACATAACTTTTCATGAAAAAACAAGTTTTTTTGTCATATTGTAATCAATATGGATTGACCAAACTTCAAATACTTTATGGGCTCAACTAATTACTCCTCAGTCCCATGAATAGTTTTCGCTTTTAAATCCCTTTAATAACTTCTACATTTTGATTTTTATATGACTACTTTTTATGTATTAATATATAAAAACAAATACTTAGTCCTATTGTACAAAATGATTATCAAACTTCTCTTAATTAATGTCGAGCTCAGAAATTTGTTTAGAGGGCTCACAAATATATGTGGTTTTTTTTCCTGATTTTGATTATGTTTCGCACCACCAAGAACCTAATGCATGCATGTATATATTATAAAATATAATATCGATATGCTCCTAAGTCCTAAACCTATCCATCCACTCCGTATTTGTTGTGAATTTGATCTAGCTGGGATCGGACAGCTGTTTTCCTATGAAATAAACCCTTTCTTGTAAAAAAAATATTAATAAAAATTGAATACAATCAGGAGTAATTAATATGGTTGGAAACTTGAAATAGGTGTCATCCACCAATGGATACGGAAGACTATTTGGAGCTATATATAGTGAGACATTTGTTTATTCAGTCTTTTGAGGAAAAAAAACTTTGGTACTGAATGAGCTAGTGCACTGTATTTGTACATCAGACACATATTGAGACAAAGCGACAAATATTTCTTATGATAAGACGTAAAATAGAGCTGATACACGATAAATCTATCTCCGTGTCAAAATAATTTGAAAATTTGACTTTTCTTGGTCAAACAGTTTTGTTTTGTCCACTTAATTAGGAGATCAATTTTTAATTATATTATAATTTGGAGTTTACAACTTTGAAGATATTTTAATGTAGTTTATGAATGTGTAAATTTTAATTATCAAAAATTGAATTAATTATTCATAAGGAGGATTGACTTTTATTATCGGTTGACGACTTTGCAAAACAAATTGGGACAAAGGGAGTATTTATCAATATTGTTTTGTTATCTTATTTGTTTAAACTTTAACTACATAAAAGTTTCTTGTAAAGTTGAAATTCATTTCTCACACACACATATATATGCATTTGTTTCTTTTTATACATGTATATAAAACGAAGCCACGGCTATAATTAATGACTTTTCTTTTACATCTTTTACAAAATGTTACACATTTGACTATTTGAGTTGTACTTAGAGACGATTATTGGAATGTGAATTAAATTAGAAATGATTTAATTCATTTGTTTTGAGTAATTGATGGCTTGGATTTATTCTTTTTATGGGAAGACTTGTTGTCATTTGAATTTGGTCATATATATTTATGGAATTTAAATTCAATTCATTGCATTTTTTAGTACAAGTAGGTAAGATAGCCTAGATCTAACATCATTGATTTTGATGGATTTTGATGGTTCTTAAATCACATGCCTCAGACATCTAAACCACATATATTCCCATTAATCTCAACCACAAGTTCAAACTCAATGCTGAGAAAATTATTTCTTCACAATTGCACATTTTTGTTACTCTCAAAGGATACAATTGTGAAGGTTTTCTTGACAAATTTCATGCGTGTCCGCCATTAACTAGTGACATTACTTCCTCATAAAAATCTTGCATATCAATGGGAACACTTATATATAATGGTTCCCCATAATTAGTTGCACTTCAACTTTTCAAATAGCGTTTAATACGCTCGTCTCTTTATAATTTGTGAAACTTCTATTTACGGTTATGTTAAATACTTAAATGCATTAGTACCTAACTCAAAATCTAACGTTTGGAATTTCATCAATTTGCGAGTGTATGTCGTGAGGTCAAGAAACTCTATGGATCATGATTTCATCCATGCCATTACTGTCATGGGGGAGTTAATGAGGCTGTTTGGATGGATTCTAGCGTGTTGGGGGCAAAACGCCTGTCTCCTTATAATAGAAAACGGTAGAAATGCTAGTGTTTGGAGTTGAAAACGTCAATAAACAAACATGATATGGCCAATAATGTCAACTAATAACCGTATGAAAGTTCAAATATGTAGAGCACTGAAATACATTTAAATATTTAATTTAATACGCAGTATATTATAGACTCTTGTACAAAATCAACATTATATAAATTTGAAATGGGTGAAATTTGATAAGTATGATTTATATTCTCTAAATTTTAAAATAACACCATATTCACTTATTACTTGCATATATCAAACTTATAAACGAAGTCTTAGCTACGTGACAAAAAATGACTGGTTACTTCAGATAAGTTGATGTAAGTTACTCCTTATTAAATATAGAGAGACAAGTGAAAGAGGCAGACTTGAAAAAGATTACCCTTTTTGCTGTATCGGTCAATAGGAGCATATCCTATGTTGGTGTGATATTTATTATTTCGGATCCATTATGGTTATTTTGGGCACAATCCGCTCAAGCTGAAAAGATAATGTTGGGATTTGAATTGGGGCCGGGCTTATATTTCAATACTCGTTAATTTTTATTAATTTGTTATCAGACAGCTTTAATTAGCACCAATTGAATGGGCATGCATTACAGTACTACGGCATTATATTTTGTAGTAGCAAATATTTTCCCATTTCAACAAATGCGATCTTATTGAGAACAAATGCGGTCTTATTTCAACAGTGAAGTTGGACTTAAAATTAAGGAGATTAACCCATAATGGAAACATCAATCGTGCCTAAAAAC